GCTTTTTGGTGTTCCTTTGGAGCCAGAACTATCATATAATTCTGGTAGTTTTAATAACGCTTTTTTTCTTAATGTATTGACTTCAGGTCTATAAATAATTTCTTCTCTAAATTAAAAGATTAGTGGTGATGTGCAACATGGTATACATTGTAAAGAAATTACGAACAATTTGTAGTTTTTACGTTGCACTAGTTGGCTTATTCATATGTTTGTTTAAATAACAAACATGTTAATTATTACAAAGCTCTCTGTTGATTTAAGTATAGAGGAAGGAGCTTTTGGGTATGGCAATAAAACTAAAGAGATTTAAATTCTTTATTGATTTTTTAGAAATGTAAACATATTTTAGATGCATATCAGTGATAAATATTTCAAACATTGTGGTTAAATTTTTTTAAAAAAAAAGCTTTTTTTTCAATGGTATTAAAAGTTTTCTTCCGAATTAGTATTCTTCTCCCATAAAGAACTTCCTTTTAACACTTTCAATTTGATAATAAGGGACAAAATTTTATTTGTATTTTTATATACATAATTTTGATTTATAAAATTAGTTTTATAGATTTTAATAGTTAATTTTATAAAAAATTAAAATTGCAATTTAATAAAAAGCAATTAAAGTACTTTTGTTTAAATATCGAAGACTTATCCTTAAATACTTTTTGTGCTCTTATGACAAAATGCAAGAACGCATATTTCAAAAAACATATAGGAAATTTTTTATAAACAATGCTTGCATTAAACTTGTTAATATACACAGACAATTTATGAACTTAGGAATCTATCTGAAAAAAAAGTTTTTAATGTTATTCGTGAAGTTAAAGTGATTCTTGAAGGTAATTAAGTGTCATTTATTAGAAAAGAAATGATCAGAGAAATAGGGAGATTTTTCAATTTTTCCGCCAGGCTTTAATGTAGACTCAGTATTTTATTCTATTTTTTAAGCTGTAAAAAATTGATTGAATACAATCCTGTATAGCATTTTTTAGTGTAAAAGAAAAGAATATTGTTTTAACCAAAAAAAAAAATTATGAAGATTCTTGGCTTTGAATATTCACTTGTAGACATTTTCGGATCTTTTTTCAACCATCTAAATTACTATTTGAATAAAAAAATTGGAATAGTTTATAATTGGTACTAACCATAACCTGTGCTCCGGCTGTATCATATTACTGTGCATGATATGGAGGCTAGTTCCTTTTAAGAACAGAACTGATAGAAATTTTTGATCTGTCAGAATTTTTTATTTTTGCTCGTTATAATATTTGGTTCATTTACAGTCTTAAAGGTATCGGCGCAATACTAAATGTGCTTTTCGTGCATTTCGTATGCAGCATTTGTCTAAATTTACTAAATTTAGTTGATTTACAGACGCTATTGTCTCAGTAAATTGAAAAAAAAAAACATTTGTTGAACCGATCGGTACAGCTTATTAAAATATTTCAAAATAACATCTTCCTGCGTCGATACATCATTTCCAGAGATGCTCACCAGGCTCCAAAGACATACGGTAGCTTTCTCCAGAATGTCCTTAAAAGTCTCTATGATTTTGTCAACTATCCCAAAATGATAGGAGTTTTCTTGCCCGAAGACTAGAAGAGCCTCGTCAGGACTTCAGAGCTGTTGGCAAATCGTTGGCAAGTTTAAATATGACATGAAAGGTCACACTGACAGCAGGAGAGAAAATCCCTTTTTTCACTAAAATGTTCAATGTCCATGCCATTAAACGCACACTCTGAGTTCAAGAGTTAACCAACATTTTCGTTGTTGTTATTCATTGATGTCTTTCGAGTCTAGACTTCATAGTTGATTTCTTCACAACCTTCAAAATGGGTCTTGTACCATCGACAGACTTGACGTTTCGATAAAAAAAAAAGACCAGATACATGTTGTTCATTGATGTCTTTCAAGCGTAGATTTCATAGTTGATTTCTTCACAGTCTTCAAAATGGGTCTTGTGCCATCGATCGATTTGACATTTCGATAAAAAAAAGACCAGATACAAAGAATATCTTTACAATTGAAAATGTTTCACTGTGGACTTGCCGAGTTATACTCAAAGCTGATGGTATTCTTTTGCTTCATCGAGCGCGGCTTGCACTCGAAACAAAAACGATTTTTTAAAAAAATACCCAATCCTATTATCTGGATAGTCGGAGATGATAAAGTTGACTCTACCATTAACCGATACCAATTAGTCCGATCATAGCATGTATTCGTTTTATAGTAAAATTAGTGTTTAAGAGTGATGCTGTATTTGATCGTGTAAGTGTAGCAGTTGTAAATAATAAAGTAATTTGAATATTTTTTTTGTTCCGGAAACACGTAGAATCTTCAAAAAAAAATAAAAACTTCATGTCTATTGTGTTCCTAAAATGCTTAAGGCCTCATGTTTTATTCATCTATCTGTATAGTATTTTTAAGAAAAATAAATCTACTCTGCCTTTCTTTAAAATCACATTTAAAATGAAGAAATTTCGCTGTAATACATTGAACAGTAAACATTAAACTCTATTCTTTACATGATTAGGGATTCTTTAGGACATATCTCAAAAAGTTTAAAATACAATTAAAACTATTAGCCTTTCATCCCGTTTAAGTTATATCAGTCTCAGTCAAACTATTTAAAATTTTTTTCTCTTATTTTTAAAAAAACTTCTATTTTCCTCAAGAAGCATGTAAACAAAATAAAACAAAGATAAATCTAAGTTACACTATTTTTTGAATTTTTTGTTTGGAATTAATTGCTGAATATAATTGAAATAGTCCATATATTTTTATTTCATATTGGATCACTTACTTAATTACTCACTCACTTACTTTCTCACTTATAAAACTTAAAGCTTAGCAAATTGTAGTAACTTTTAAGGGGTTCAAATAGCATTTAATTGAATTCAAATTTTCAGCATGAATATCTAAAGATGTTTTTTTTTAAGATAAATGAATACGTCTGCACTTTAGTTATTATTGCAAATAGAATAATTTTCTTCGCCTTTTCAGAAATCAAATCTTAGCTATTGGTATAGTATTTTGCTTATTTATTACGGTAAATACTTAAATTTTCAGCCAATTTTTAGAAATCAAACCTTGAACCAAAAGTTCAGACGTTTCAACTGGTTGTTTGAAATTAATTATATGGAAATTGATTTAATACATAAAATGCGGTAGCTTTCCCGCAAAACAACAGGGCAGTAGTTCATAAAGAAATGAAAAAGGGGAGAGATGTAATTCACTCTTTCCCGTGAATACGGTTGAGATAGATAATCGGATTCCAGCCATCTTATTGACATCATAAATCTTTTAGAAAGAATTGGAGTGTTAGGGTAGTAACAGTATTCCTGTTTTCTAAAAATAAGAAATAAATCTGTTGGAATTTATTTTGATGAAAAATTTGAAACTTAACAATGTAAAATATGTCGGAATTTATTAATTTATTTTTGGTCTACATGATTTTCAATTAACTATTAATTATTACAATATATTGGATATTAATGGCATTACGTAAAAGTATTTTAACGATAATTTCTATGTTTAATATTATAATAATTACTTTTTAAAATAAGATATATTTGAGTATTTTGAAGTAACATTATGCTTTGAATACATATTACATATTTAAGGAAATTATTATTGAAAATTAATGTGCTTACATTATTTCAAAAATTTATTCAACTGGAAAGAAGTGTATTTTTTTCAAGTAACATAATATTGGTTTATAATAAACAGGTGAGATTCTAATTTTTTTGAAAAACATGTTCTGCAAAACAATTAATGAATTAAAAATAAAATAATTTTATTTTTATAACTAGGCACAATCTTTGGCGTCATCAAATGTTTGAAAATTAAACCTAAAAATATTGTTATA